TTTCCTCCTTTAGTTTTTTTATTTCTCTCACGGTTCACTATTAATGTTTTTTTTTCTTGCCATCTAGTTATCCACTGCAGGTGTGGGTTAAAAATAACACAGACTGGAATTGATTTAACTGCAAACAAAGGGTTAACGTTTAAATGTCTTGAAAGCTGTGAGCAACTGCAAGCACATGCAGACGCACATCTATGCACATTTTCTCAAATCCTTCTTGGTACATAGTTCTTTTCTCCCAAGACATTTTCCATCGAGCCATTACTTGCCTCGATTAACCAGCTAGGCTGGTCCATCACCTCGGGAACTGCTCTGATTAACCCTCAACATTACAATCTTGGCTTCGTTTCCTCCACCCCTTTCACCTGCTTCACCTGTATCACCTGCTTCATCCCAACCAGCCCATTCCCCTCACCCCTCATCGGCAGCCCTTCAGTGCACATGGATGCCTCCGCTCCATTAACCGTTAACTGGCCTGCGCCAAAGCCCACGTGTGAGGAGGAGGAGGAGGAGGAGGAGGAGGAGGAGGAGGAGGAGGCGGAGGCGGGGGGCTCTCATTAAACACTTTGAGACCCGACAGAATCAATTACAGTGATGTATCGATTTGTCAGCAGGTCCCGGTGGCTTCACCAGAGTACCGGGACCTGCCGCCGAACAGGAGGGAGTAGGGGACAAATGAAAGGATTAAAGGAGAAAGGGAACGAAAGGGGAGGGAAGATGAAAGTGCAGCGATGTCGGGAGAAGAGAAGGCGAAGAAGGGCGTGAAGGAGAAAGCAGGGAGGACTTAAAGGGTGGAGTGAGGAAGAGAAATGGCTGAGGGAGGAATGATGGAGTAAGTGTTGGAGGGAAAAGCGCAAGATTGTGAAAAGAAACTGACAGCAAGAAGGAGGACAGAAATGTGGACGCACAAAGGGAGGAAGGGGGGAAAAAAGGGGAAATACATTTCCTTATCAACCTCGATGGCATTTTCCCTCCAAGTGCCGCCCCATTTCTTTTCATGTCCTCTGCTCCCCTTTCTTTAATTCCCATCCTCCACCTCCTCAACCTCTCTGTTCTTTGTACTTTCTCACTTCATCTCCCTCTCTCCTCCTCTCCATTACAACGTTCTCTGTCCAGGGCTTACTGTACTTCCATCTCCAGCGTTTGGGGGTTATTTTAGTTGAGGCGGGGCTATAACCTTGAAAGTTACACTCAACCACAAGTAAGTTAAAGCTTGGTGGGCTACAAGTAGCGAGGCCGACTCAAAGACATAATACTGTGTGCCAGTGAAAGAAGGATTTGTGCTTAATAAAGCTAAAGAAATATGAAATCCTTTGGGTTCTAGTATAATACAGAGGTGTAGCTGGCTTGAGATGATTCTATCCATGTATCTGTCCGTCTAAACTTTGAGATAACTGAGCTGATTGTTTATACAGACCAGAAGAAAATCTGCCATTATTTTCTTTGGCTATTTACCAAACTCCTCCCTCAGCTGTTTTACCCCACGCGTCTTTGTCTATTCAGAGCTTGGGTACAAAAGAGTGTATGCAAACAGCAGCAGGCTTTTAAAGATGTTCAAAGATGATGGACAACACTTATTCTCCTGCTCCTGTCATGAGGCAGCAGGTCTCCAATAGAAAACATACGAGGTGATTAAATATGCGTCAAACATGGCAATCACAGAATAAAAGAATGCTGTTGATAGTGTACTTAAGGGATCATTTCATGGGCAAAATCCATTCACTCAGGGTGTTCTTGTCAGGTTCAAAGGTAATCATGTTACGGTGGAGCAGCGTAGACAAACATGCCAAGTACGTCCCAGGACATAGACCGGAACACTGAACAGAATACAGCTAGGAGATGAAGATACTTTAATACAGTGGCACTGATGTGAGAAATGATATTGTCTCTTTCTTTATCTGCCAACTCTTACTTATCGTAAATGCTGTACTGATCAGGATGTTTCTTAGTCGTTTAAATATGTGATTTGCTCTTATGTAGTCTAGCTGAATTAACAATCCTTTTTCTGCAAAACAATAGCTCTGTTACTTAGCTCCTGCATTTTCATTTGAGAAAATTTGAGGAGGAGAAACTTTCATTTTATGAATTTGTTTTGCCTGACAAGCTACATAAATTAGCTAATAAGCTGCTCGACTTTAACACATGTAAACATACCCGCAATTGTCACTTTGGTCTGGTTGAATCTTGCAGGTGTCCATACTACTCTATAGCACTGGAAATGCTGTTTGGAAATATTTCTACCACAGAGCGAGTCTTCTCAGGTTCCCCTGATGGAGCTCAGCCCTCCAGAAGCTGTCAATCAGAAACAGACACCAACAAACAATCAGCTGGCTGAGCAGACAAGCAGCAATGAATTCACCATTTCAACGTTCAAAGAACTTGTAACATTTTAATAACGAACAAAAAGTGTCCATAAAAAAAACATGATGAAAGTAGTTGACAATGCATGGGTATCATTTTTGATAATGATATACTGTATAAACAATTATAAAGCGAGTTGTCATTATTTTTTAATGTAATAATATTATTCCGTTAAACGAAACTATCTAACCTTAATAATTTGTATTTCTTTTTTTATGGTGTAATAACTAGTTTGGACTTTTTTTATATTACAAGATTGTGCTTTACTCTGGGGAGATTTTTACTGAAGGGTGTTACCAGGCGTTAAAAAAAATGAGGGGGAAATGCTTTAGACCTCAGAGGGTTCATACGTTTCTCCTTGCCACTGTTGCAAAGTGATTTGCTCATGAAGGATTGTTGGGACTTTGTGAGTGATAGAACAGAGCATGTTTAGACATGCTCTTTGAGTATGTGTTTAGATAACATTTGTTATGAAATGGCTCAGTACAAATAAAGATTGATTGGTTGAATTTAAGTACACATCGCTATATATTAATACATTTAATGTTTGGTTGAAAATAAATCACTAAAAGTTACTTTTCTAAAGAAACTAAAAATAAATCAGAACTTAAAACTTCCTTGATATCAAACATGTAATTAATGAGCACAATCCAGGCAGCAATAAAGCCTGCTCCAAAGCAAACTTTGATATACCATTCAGAAAGAGGTATGCATTTTTTTATAGAAGGGGTTACAAGCGGCATAATATGCTAGCTGAGAAAACACAGGAGAGAACAGTAAAATAACTGAGGATTCTCTTAAAATTTCATAAAAGGCAAAAAGAAATAAACAAAGAAGAAACACATAAAAACGTTCTAGAGTGAAAAGGCTATGTCTTTATTTTCATTTTATAAATGCCAAATGTTTTTTTTATGGACTGAAGCTGTCTCAGACGGAAGCTTGCGGCTCACTGTAAGTGACCTGCGAGACACTGTGAACATGGAGCCCTTTCAAGGCTTTCTGTGGGAGGAAAAGTGAATGAGTTTTCCTCAGTGAACAATGCGACATGCAGCCAGAGGCAGGGCACAATGTCTTCTCCTGTAACTTGTTTTGAAGAAAATGCCAAAAACTCACAAAACCCCAACTAAGTAATAAAGCAAAAATCAAAGCAATGCTAGGGCAGACAACACAAAAAAAAAAAACAATATTCTATCAAATTCACCATAAGAAAATCTGATCAAAACACAGCATATTTGTTTGTCTGCTTTTTTTTTTTTTTTCTTTTTTTTTACACACCCAGTGTGAACTCCAGTTCCTTAGAAGGGTCAGTTAATATAGTGGAGTTAAATGTCAGCTCCTCCAGTTTCACTGTCTTTCTGACAGCATCAACATCACAGACGACTCGAAATCCAACAAAGGTCAGCTTTCTTTTTCCGTTCTCCTTCCCTTTGTGTATGCATGTGTGTGCAACAGAGTGTTAGAACGAATGAGAGCTGGAGAGAGAGAGAGAGTGCAGATCTCAGAGTTGTTTAAGTCCAGCCTAGCGGCTCAATATCTATCCGATTTATGTCTCGGTTATTTTCCTCTCCTTAAACAGTAAGTGATAAACTCAGTGAAGGACACAATAACAAAGATCTACCTCCCCCCCACCCCCCCTCTCTATCTTTCTCTCCCTGTGCCTGTGCTATCAATCAGTCTTGTGGTGATTGCGGCTGGATTACGGGGCTTTTGCTGTCCGCTTCTAGCGATTAACGTCAGACCAAATAAAATAGCCGTATATCCCTCCACAGTGGCTGGAGTAAAGTGCATGGCCACGTGCACCTACACTTATATTCACACATAATCACATGCTGAGCGCAAATAAACCTTAATGTTAAATTCAATCACAAAGTCGGCGTCTTTCACATCCATTCCATCCCTGACTTTCTCTGTGTGTGTGTTTGCTTGTGTAATTGAAGTGTGATTTTCTCTTGTGTGTCCTTGTTGGATACTCACATGCACGTCATCTTAAGTAATGGATGCTGCTGTGAACTTAGCTGAAAAGAGTAGTGGCCATGATGGATTTGGACTACCTGCAGTGAGTAATGCAAAACAGCAGGACAGAGAGAGAGAGAAAAAAAAAACAGTCACACATCAACACGTACACATTCACCACAGAGACGACAAACCAGTTCCAGTGCTTGGTGTTTATCTTCCTTCACTCCTGCACACACACAGACAGATGGCAGCAGCGACCATTGGCACAGTTGCGTATTCCCTCCCTTACTAACATAATTTATCACCTGCAGCAGACTCCTGTGTGCGTCTCTGCGTGTGGGTGTGTTTGTGCGTGTGTTTTAATCCCAATCTGATCCAGTGCCACCCTATCCTCATTAAGAAATGAAGGGATCACAACATAGAGAAAATGTTGTGCGTTCAACTCCTGTAGAGGTAAAATCTGGAATGCAGCCAACTGTCCCCTCACCTGTCAGGAAAAACACATATACACACACTGACAAACAAATAGTATTTAAATAGACCTCTGGTGAGTTTTTGAGCTAAATCAAACCGTCTCATCCATTTATCAACTAGCATGTTTCTTAAAAACCTACAGAAACACAGAGCACAGAAGTGTAGACACACAAAAATACACCAATCATTACTCAAAACAAAACAACCTTCGATCAATATTTAGCCCCGCTTTCAAAAGCACTTTTATTTTGTTCAAATTCAATTATTCACATCTTGTTTTTATGCTGTGTTTGTACAATCAAGTGTGTTTATGTGCATGTTTGTGTGAATATCTCAGGGTAGTAAGAGGACACTCTGTTGGTCTCTCTGTGCTGCCGCCTCCTCATCCTTTTGTTCCTCTCTGACTCTGCCCCTGCAAGACAAAATCCATCAATCAAAGGCAGAACTTAATACAAGCGCAGCACTCAAACAGCAGCCTGTAAATACAGCACAGGTGTACAACATAGCTAAAAAAAACTACTCTCAGATGCAGACATTGTGCATTTTAGCAAGAGAAACATTTGTTTTATGACCATAACGGACAGGAAGTTTGAAATTTGGATTCAGGGAAACAGGAAGTTGACGTTTCCGATACAAGTTACAGTGAGAGTGTAAGAGGTCCAAACAGGTTCTGTCAGTTAGATCTGAAGTGATGCTGAGTTACAAGTTATTGTATATCAGTCAGTCAATAATCATTAAGTTTGTCTCTTTTATTTTCTGAGTTTAGAGGGGCTGAATCTTAGTCAACAGCTGATCAGATATTTGAGGTCTACTTTGCATGCAGTTGTTGTTTGTATCATAGCCTTCAGCTATTGTAAATAATCCAATTACTGCCAACCCAGGATTTTACAAAGTTTAACAAATTGTGTAGCAATTTTCATGGATTAATGTTTAGCCCTGAGTATAACCGCTAACAAGACAGCAGAGGCTGATATTCAACAATTACAAAGAATGTTTATGATATTTATCATGGCCAGGCCTACGTCTGGGAGGGGTGGAGTTTGTTCTGGTCCTGGTAAGTGTATCTGAATGTATGCTCTTAAAGGGACCAATGAGCTGAACCTTTCTTGGTTGCAGGAATTTTGAATTTCTAAATATTATTGACTTCTTAAAATTGCCTGTCAACTTTTGATTCATTGACCGAAATGTATCTCTTACAACAAACAAGAAGAAAGCTAGTTAATTCCATCTTTATAACTAATTGTAAGTTTTTTTCCTGTATATTCTGTACTGTATAAGCTTTAACCAAAAATAATGAAAAAGTACAGTAATTTTTCCAAATATTCATTTAGTCCTGCCATACACCATACAGTCAATGAAGTTAGACTGCAGATGGAGTCAACACTAAAGCAAAGACTAGCAGCAGGAAGCAGTTACACACACACTAAGTTAGAGTAGACTTCAAGGCAATAATCCTGCAATAAATCAGTTAACAAAAAATGATACCTGTACATCTATGTCAAACCAGTGAGACTGGATCGATGCAAATGTGTGTGTGTGTGTGTGTGTGTGTGTGTGTGTGTGTGTGTGTGTGTGTGTGTGTGTGTGTGTGTGTCTCTTTGCATGTTGAGGGATGTAAGGAGCTGTTTTGGGAGCCCTCTGTGTAGTATCTGTTAATCCAGTTATTACACATTTCAGTGTGATATTCACAGTGCTCAGCTCAGCACAAGGCCTCTAGCGCAGATTATGCCCAGTATACACACACACACACGCACACACGCACACACGCACACACGCACGCACGCACACACACACACACACACACACACACACACACACACAATACATCAACAGCTCAAAAAAAAAAACACCCATACACTCAAAATAGGTAAAAACAAGAAATACATTGTCACACTTGCTCTTTGTCTTTAACCATGGCCCATTAAGGCATGTTATGTAACATGCTGTCAGAGCTAAAGTCGTTCGCTGGCTAACGATCCATTACACACTCCATGTTTGCAACAGAGCACAAAAAAAAGAGGGATTACCCCCCATCGTGACCACTGGAATGGTGGAAGCGAAGGGGATGAGAAAGCAATGGATTACAAGCAGATAATGATGAAAGGACACTGATAAGAGTAGAAAAACAAGAAGTTACAAGTCTACACAGGGGAAACATACAATTGTGTTTCATATTATTATATAGTATCGGAAATATTAACAGTTCCCGCTATACGCCTTTTGGATTCTTGAGGGTATCCAATTGTTCTAAATGGGCAGACAAAGATACATTACCATGGACGTAAACATGAACAAATGGGGTTGTAGGATTGTAAATCCAGTGAGAGGCTCGTTTAGGAGAACACCGCCATTGGATATGCGGTAGGATCAGAAAGAAAACCTTGTGCTATAATAGACAAGTGTTATAGAGGTTGAAACAACCGTGGCCAATCTCCTTGTGAAGAAGCATTGATCATGATTATTCTGTTTACATGTGTGCTTAGTTTTCCCATTATAACCTCCCACACAATCACCTTTAACCAGTTAAAACCACATGAACAGAAAAACAAAGGCCTTCTTTGTTTTATGTGCAAAATGAACTTCTGATTATTGAAGAACAAAATACTCTCATTATCTTCATATTATGACATAAATGTTATCATGGCAATGATCCTTAAAAAAAAAGATTTTAAAAACATAACTCTTATGTTGTAGCCCCTCTTATAAAAGAGACATAAATAATCTGTTTCTTAACATGTTTGTCATCACCACCACACATCTACCTGTGGAATTCAACTAGCACTTGGGCAACATTTGTTTATACAGTGATGCAGGCAGCATCCCGTCTCAGGATGAGCTCATTGGGGGAGTCCTGACAATACCTTCTGACTATCTGCAGAGTTTCAGTTTATCTGTAATTTTTCATGGAACTGATTTAAAGGTCACATATTGTACTCCTTATCTACAAGGGACAAATAAGTCTCAGAGCTCTCCAAACATGTCTGGGAAGCTTATTGCTCAAAATGCACTCTTATCCTGTATTTGATCATGCCTATAAACCCCTCTACACCAGCCCTGCTCAGAACAGCTGTTTCTGCATCTATAGCTTTAAATGTGAGTGAGCTGTGTATGTCTAAGCCCCCCTGAAAGGGCTTGGGTGGCTTTGGCTTTCTTGCTCCATGCCCTGTTGTTTACGGTGGAAAGGCAGACTCGGGGCAGAACAAAAACCTAGCTGTGGGAGTGTCATCCACCTGGGGGAGGGAATACTGTCCTTTGTGATGTCACAAAGGGAGCATTTCCAAACTGCCAGTTTGAGCACACATTTTTCTAAAAAGTGGAGCAGGCAAAAAGAGAGAGAGAATGGACGTTTTCTAATAATTTGGGGGTTTGTAGACAGACTAGGGTCACATATTAGTGTTTAAAAACCGTGGTAAAGTGTATTTTTGCAAAATATGTGACCTTTAAATGTATTTCTTCTAGACACTTGTTGATTCACTCTGCAGTAAAAACTGTAATTAAATCATGTAAAACAAGTTTGAGGTTTTAGTTTGAGTAATTTGCAATAAACAGACTACATTTTATTCCAAGAAATTTAACAAGGAGATATGCCAAGCATCATCGTGGCTTGACAGTGTGCTGCATGTCTCCGATTGGAACAGATGGAACTGATACCTGCTGCTTTCAGATGACTGTAAAGAGCCACCTGAGTAAAGAAAGGTCGTCACCACAGGCAACTAACTGTCATTGATTCCTGAGCTGGAGGAAGCACTCATTAATCTTTATTTGGCCTCAGCGAAATTAATGCTGCAGCAGAACATTTTCATTGTTTGGTTTTTGTGATTACATGTCAACTGCTAAAAAAAATATAAAGAACAAAATAAAAACAACTAACTCTGAAGTTTGATGCAGGTTGTTCTAGGCACCAAGGTTGCTGTTGCCTCTGGATTGGCACTTACACAATGTGCCTGACAGAAATACCAATTAAACAGTGTGATATTGGGTTTTGAACCCTGCATGGACTTCAGTCTACCCTTGAGGATGTACACTGTGGCCCTCACTTATCAATCTGGTGTAGAAACCAGCTCAGATTTGGGTGTAGAAATCATCGTACAACAGGGTCCACGTGGGACCTATGAAACGTGCGTATCTGGCTGATCACAGCGTACGCATGACCGGGTGTTGATAAGTGTGGCGGCTGGAAACGATCGTCATTTAAATATCACGCCCCTATTTATTCACGGCTCAACTGTCCTCGCCCCCAGAGTTTACAGCATGGAGATACGTAATACGGCAAAGAAGAGAAACGAGATATGACATGAGTGACACCATAACAGAGAGAAGTAAAGAGGAATAACATTGTGTTGTCTGGCAGCCTGAAATGTAGGATTAAAGGGTGTCAGAAGAAGTACGTCTGCAAGGAAATGTCAACAGCGTTGGTGTGGATAAACGAACTCCAGCAGAGTTTTTAATATTTAATTTAACATCCGTAATATGTAACGTACATAACATAGGCAATAATATAAAATTGTTTTTATACTTTTAGTTTAAAAAACCTGGTCAGACCATAGAATCGCTACAATGTAGTCTAGTGTTGCGGGTCTTTAAAGAAGCAGCTCCCGGAGCGGACCGGAGGACGCCAGCTGGACCCCACCTGAAATAATCCCAGATCGAGGAGCGAGTGGCTTCCTTCATCGGTTCAGCCTCAATATCAGGCCCAAGTGGTGCAGGCAAACCTGCATCTGTGTCGGATAGCGTCGGCTGCACAAATCAGGCTCCGTGCTCGCCATTAATGAGACTTTAAAAGAGAAGAGAAACCTGAAACGTCCTGCATCACATGAATAAAGTGTTTGATCAAATGCTGTCTAATGTGCACTTCTCACCCGATTAGCCTACATTCCAAACATAAGAATTTAACGCTTACATAAAAGAAGGTCCTGACTCCGTCTAAAAGCCCCCGGATTTCGTTATTATGTCACATGTAGTCTGGCCTAAGTGTGTCTGCTGTGCGCAATTACACATGTGGCACATCAGTGTATTTATTATTAAATCTCCAGACATACCGATTAGTTATGATCTAATGTTCATGTTCTGTATTCTTAAAGGATTTATATGCAATTTTTTGATCCAGCAGATGTCGCCCTTGAGCACCAGCATGAAACCAAAACAACTTGCGGTGCATTGTTATGTTAGCATGCTAATGCTAGCGATCTTTATTATGCTCGTATCTTCACACTGCATGTAAATTTTAAAAAATGAGCGTAATTTAGAAACGCAGTTAAGCAGTGAGTACAGTATGTTATTCTTCTTTTCTCTAGTCCCTCAATTAAACAACTTTTATTTGCGAGGGGAGGAGTCAGCCGCCGTTTCTGTTTAATTGGTCTTTGCAGCGATATTCCTGTGCGCATGAACGTTTTGAGAAAGCAGCCTTTCTAATCTTTAATCTTTAAAGTAAATCAATTAAACACACATAAATTCATCAAATATAACACACAACTAAAGAAATCACCTGGCAGCTCAACATTATTTAAAAAGAAATGTAGCCTACAGAGATCGTTTGAGGTGGAGCGAAAAATAAAATACATTTTAGATGCCATATCTTATCTAACAGTAAATCTGGGAACCTCTATCTACCTTAACAAGCACTGTTATGGTAGATATAATTATTCTCCGACACAGACAGATTCGTTGCACTGCAAGTCCACACTGAGTTGAAAACGGGCGTACACGAACTGAGACCTGGCGTGAGTTTGTGCCAAACTTTGCGTGGAAATTACCATACACCCATTTTTCTGCCGTACGTACGTTTGATAAGTGAGGGCCTGTGTGTGCCTTGAGCGACCACAGTTATCATGCAGGAGTGTGTTTAAACTGTTGTGTTCATGTTACCCACGGTGTGAGACGATGCTCTCCATGCTGTCCTTGACTTCCATGTTTTTCTGAACCCAATATGGAGTTCTGCTTCCCTGTTTTAAAGGTAGATATACAGAGCATGTTTAATGCTTATCACTAGTAATGTCATGATAAAAATCAACTTAAATGTAATTTATGTGTGTGTTCATACCTTTGGTCATGAGTCTAAGTTCCTGCTCTAGATCATGTAGAGTATTCTCAGTTGTGTCATTATCCAGGTCAGGGTCCTCACAGCCAGCCTTGTCCACACAACAGATCTCCAGGATCTCCTTTGCTGCCTGGGACAACACTGGACCTAAAACTGAGGGATCAGAGAGGAACGAATAGATGGGATGAGGAGAAAGGCACTGGGTCGCTTGGTGTGGAGTTGTTTGAAAAAGTTAGACCTTGACCCTGAATGTGAAAGAAAGAAGAACAGAAAGTGTGAGTGCAAGACAGAGATAAGAGGAGATGTGTAGGAAGGCAGGGAAAGTAAAAGTAGGAGGGGAGGGGTATGTAGCACAGGACTCAGGGAAAGAGGGTGAGAGACAGGAGTGAAGCGAGCACAACAGTCAGTGGAATGAGTGGTGTCTCATCCCACTCCACTGCGAGCCACATCAAATTGAATCAGATTGAACATCCATCCCCACCTGCTCACTGTAAATTACACTGAGGCCCCCATTGAGAAGCTATGATGGTGTGTGGGTGTGTGTGTGTGTGTGTGTGTGTGTGTGTGTGTGTGTGTGTGTATGACACTGATTCCTCATGCTGGTTGCTGTCTAACCAGCTCAAGTGTTAAGTCTCTCATTCTTTCAAACTGCCATTGTCTCCCTACCCCTCCGTCCCTCCTTCTGCTTTCAACACCCGGGCTCTGTCTTTCAACCTGCACAAAACCTCCACTTAGTGCTTCACAAACACCTGCACTGTCAAACTAAACAGCATTTGAGAAATGATGCCAGCAATACAGTGCTGCTAACAGGTGTGTGTTCACACATCCACATAGCGTGATTCTACCTCAATTTCAGAGGCGTATGTGATGTATTTAGATTTAAGTTGCTGATAAAAGCTGATATCTTGCACCGTGCACTTGTGCATTTAAAATGCATTTAGTATAAAATGTAAGTGAGATTGAAATCTTATCTTCCTGACCTCCTTGAAGAGTTTCCTGCCATGTTTTTCATGAAATATGTACAGTATGTATAAAATATACATTTATAAACATACTGTATCTTTCTCGACCACATGGCATATTGAAATGTATAAAACAACATTCTTATAGCTTTAAATAAAACAGTAAACCAAATAAACAAGAAAGGAGCGTCCCTACTCAGAAAGATATACAGGCGCAGGGAGCTCTTTCGAGATATTCATACTTTTCACGAGGGAGCCAAAACACAGATGTTTCGATGGGAGTCCTCCTCAGAGTGTTGTCAGACAGCACACTGGAGCGACACACTGACAAGACACCACGAAGAGGCACACTGAGTGAGCCAACTTGCCGAAACGTCTGTGCTTAGGTCCCCTTGTGAAACAGTGAAGAAAAGAAAAAAAAGAAAAAAGTAGAGCACTCAAGAGTCCTTATGATTCTATAATTAAATATGTGGAGAAGGTTTGAGCTCAAGAGTGGTGTTCCAAGTGTGCACCTCTTTTCAAAGTGTTCATTTTAAGTCGGAGTATTCAACTTAATTGCACCTTGAAGCATCAGACAAGCATCAAACTTTAGCTTCAGAGGCTAAATTATGCATAAAGACTAAAACTCATCTTGGAAAAAAAAAACGGATAAAGGCAATCAAATTTGATGACTGAATGATTTGAGAGAGAAAAAAGAGTGGAAGGATGGATGCATTTAAAGTTATACAAAGGTATTTACAGCACGTAAAAATGATTTATAAGCAGAGAGGGTATAGGATACACTATAACTCAGTGCCAAAGCAGAGTGGCTATGTGCAGAAATTAGGTGCATTAATTGTGTAAGAAATGGGGTTCTGCGCATATGAGAGTAAATCAGTGACGAGTAGAGCTTAGAGAGCCTGATAGGATTCACACAGACAAAATACACAAGGGTGCATCCATGCAGCACACACACACACACACAAACATACACACACACACACACACACACAGTTACCAGATGTTCTTAGTTCAGTTGCTGATATTTCTCCTCTCCTGGTGGGTGTGGTAGAGCGAATTTTAATTTCAGTTGGCTGCGTGTGGCTGCCCTTCATCAACCTGATAGCCAGGTGTTCCTCAGTGCGGGAAGTGAGGCTGCTGCTTGGCCCAAAATCTTCTGACTCTAAAAGAGCAAAGACAAAAAGTTAGAATGGAGGATCAACCAAAAAAAAAAAAGACTATAGGAAAAACATTTGTACATTGATGGATAGGTTCTACAGACTGTTAAAGGCATCCTTTAGCTCCACTTCAATGTCCCTTTATTTCCCTTTACATGCCTAAAGATATTCTGAATATCTGGATACAAGAGAAATGAAATCTGAAGACACAGATAATGCAATGTCATGCAACTATCAGTTGGATGTATAGCTACAGGATGGCAATGGCAATGCATTTGCTTTGCTATCTTTCTATATCAGTGTTTCCTTTTGTATGGAATAAATGCATGAAATAACTTTGGAGTTGTGTCAGTCTATCAACACCACAGAGAATACAAAGTTGCGGTTCCAAATGAAAATGTTTAATTTCATGGCTGTTTATCAATTCACAAAGTTAAACTAGTTCGTGTTTACAGGTGAATGACCTTATTTAGTTTTAAAGTATGAAGTGTCAGTCTGTCTTTCACTTGGCATAGTTAACTTCACAGACATTTTGGAAAATTGACAACAAACCTTTAGATGTAAAAGCAATATAAAGAAACCATTACTACCTCTCTGTACTAAATAAAAGAATATAGTAAATTAGATTTGATACAGTAATCCATTTTTCTATTCAGCCGTAGCATCTGCACCAAACCAATATTGCTTACAAGCCTGTTCAGCCAATCCTGACAGCTGCAATGCAATTACTGCTGTTTTCTTCATTTTCTCCAGTGGTTAGCCAATCAATTAATACTATTGACTGGATGGAAAATCTACTAAGTAGTCTAAATCAGCTGCAAATGAAAAGAGGAAAAGGGGAGAGGGCTCAGACAGCAAGCCTCTAAATGCACAAACAGAAAATGGAGATCTATATTTTATTTGAGTAAAAAAAGACTTAAAATTGCACACAAAGATACCCCAGATATTCTTTCAGTCTTTCTTTCTGTTTCTTCATCTTAAGCTGCTGGTCTTTGATTTCTTGCTGCATGTCTATGTTATCAGTTTTGATTCTTTTCAGCCCATCTTACTGCCTAGCTGTACTGTTCTCTCTCTCTGTCTATGGAGATTTTGTGATTGTGCAGCCTGCCTGTCAATCCATCTGTCTCTCTCTCTCTCTGTCTCTCACTCTCTCTGTTCAAATGGATGCACACGAGACAGAATCTGCACACTAACAACCTCATTTTCAGAATGACCAGGTGACGGGGAGTAAGAGCAGAAGGGAAAGAGAGGTGCAAAGGTGGAGCAGGAGACATATAAAACCTGTTGGATCTCAGCCCTGCTGAGAAAAAAAAGAGAGAAAAAAAGGAGGAGACAGATGGAGGGATGGAGGGACATAAATGAGTGCGGAGTGTTGTCAAGGTGATTTTCCTCCTCTCTAACCTTTCCCTCTCATTAACTTTGGAGCTTTAACGACAGTGGCGGAGACGGAGCTGGGCGGCTGGCTTCATAGTGTGAGGAGGATAGTGGCGCCCTTGTGGTAGTCTCTCACTGTCAACCTCTTTCACTTGATGCAGGTTTGAGAATAAAGGCAAGAAACGCTGGGCTTTGTGACTTGATAAAGAATGGTGGGATTAATGTGAGACACGGTTAGTTTAAGCAACAAGTTATTGATAATGAAACTGTTTTAGAATTAAACTTAATTCAACTGCCTTGAACAAGGCTGCAAGGTGTAATGAGCACACAATAAACGTTTGCTTCAGACTTGACCTCATATCATACTGTGACTAAACTTCAGTCTCTGAAGGACGAAGCAGGACTTCTAGCAGTCTTGTGGAACATTCTGAGCACCTCGCACAGACATAGCCTGTTTACAAATCATTAGCCTTAAAACACCCAGACACAGTTAATGTCAAAACTTTTGAAAAATATCTTGTTACAGCACTATTTGTCTGGTGTAGTTCAAAGAGAAATAAGTGATGAAAGAAATAAAGAAAGACGGGGGGAAAAAAAAATCAAACCATGCGTCTGATTTCTCTTGTGGGCATGTGGTCGTGATCAGTAATAACGAAAGTAGAAAGTAAAAATAAAACAAACGCAATAGAAAAAGAAGTACAATACAAAATTTCCAACAAAGTTTTACTGCACTGGCTTTGTGATTTTTTTTCCCTACATTTTCTTGGCAGTAATGAAGGCACATTTTCAGGGGTATTGTATAAGAGGGACAGTATTGTACTGACAACACATGCCTTTCAACATTCTTCTGAAAGGACTCAAGTAAACTTTGTGTTATTATCTACACTTTTTATCTGAAAAAAGATTTTTTTAAAAAAGAAAAGGTTCTGTCGTCTGAGACTGTGCCTTTGTGATGAAATACGTGCCTGTGTTTACCTACAGATTAAGGAAATGAAGAGACTAAATATAAGTTTAAGAAGCACACAAAACTTAGACATACGTGCACCCATAGACAGACGCACAAACGCAGGCAAAATAAAAAAGGCAGCTCAGGAAAGCTCCCCCTGGACCCACGAGTAGTAAACTATCGGTGTTGTCCCCCATCACTCCTTTTTCTACCAAGCAGCCAGGGCTCCTCTGGGTTTAAAACTCATTTTCATCTCTCTTGTAAGCTCTACGTTTTTACATATTTGTTCTAAATCCTATTATGAGGCCTTTGTGATATGAATAACGCTTGCAAATTGGAAAGTATCTCCAGGCAAAAGTTGGACACAGAGGTAATCTTCACAATCTAATCTCTTGAAGCACCGAAACAGCAACGGCATTTTTTCTGATGTAGTTTATGGAAACACATGATGCCAGTTAAAAAAAGAAAAAAAAGAAAATCTCAATAAAACAGCAGCAAAATATTTGGGAACACACACATGGAACGCTCAAGAGACCTTCCTAACCCACCTGCAAGCTCTGACTCATTTAGGGAAGTTCGGCTTGTGTGCAGTGAGTCACGGTGTGTGTGATCTGCTGTGTCGGAGTGACCAGAATTTATGTCCAAACCCAGAGGCAGAAAGCCGTCCAGATCACAGAACTGCTCTGATCCAGACCCAACACTCCGCCTTTGCATCACCTGAGGGGATAAGGAAACAGACGGAGGGATGCAGGAGACAGAGGGAGGGAAGGGAGAAGGGGGTCGGTGGCATTAAAAACAAAGGAGTGGATGTAAAAAGACAGATCGTTTCAGGAGGAGATGGAGAGAAGATACACAATGGGAGATCAGTGGGGAGAAATGCACAGAAGAAATAGATTATGGCGGGAGTTGAGGAGGAGATAACAAGGAAGGGTGGATTAAGGTCATAGAGAGAGAAATGGAAACAGCGAGGAGGAGTAAGAAAGTACAGAGAAATAAGAAATTAATAGTTTTGTTACACTGCTTGAGTTTCATTTCTGGTCTAACAGAATCAGTTCAAAGGAGAATCTGAAATTCAATATCAATTGAGCTTTTATTAAGACAGGTAAGTGTGTTAAATTTGAAGCTTTCCATTTTCTGATGTGCAAATGCATATTAATATGCTGGTGTCTTTCACTGGAGATTATTCCACTCCCCCCCCCCCTTGTTTCCTTTGTTTCCACTTGATGAATTGATTTTTAATTAACCCCTGGAGCTGCTCAGAGCTACAGCGTGGTCAGTTAGCTGTTCTCCCCGCACGAGTGTCCTCCTGTGAGACGGGGGGTAAAATGAGGAAGCTCTGTTTGGTTAAGATTAGATCTGACACATTAGCATGCTAACCATAGCGGTGCAGGACACTGCAAAAAAAAAAGGATTGAAGAAAATAGGAATGAAGGCAACTGGGAATAGTTCTGCTAAGAGAGAAGAAGAAGAAGCAGGGATGGAGAATGACAAGAGGAAGACAAAGACACAAGGCGGGCATGAGAATGAAATGGCAAGAGACCAAACTCAGAGATTCTATTTGGCGGGAAAAATTGGATCTAACTTTGTGCAGACAAATGTCTCCTTATATAAAAAAATTAAAGATTCCACAGTTGAAAAGATACCTGAACTACAGAATTATGGTAAACTTAAAGGAACAAAGTGGTTAAAAGTGAGAACAGGCAGAGGCAAAAAGAAGAACAGTAAGTAGAAGAAATAAATGGTGGACAAGAGACGGAAAGAGATTGGGTCTAAAGAGAAAGAAATTACTATCTAATCATTTAAGGAGCAGTTTGATTCAGGACCAAAGTCCACAGATAACCACCATCCGCACAATCATGAACCTCATTTTGCTCCAGCTTTTTAATAAAGCACCCCCCCCCCCCTTTTTTTTTTCTTTTTTCATTACTCTGCACCAGTAAAAAGGATTCATACCATTAAATGGCTGATAGGTCGTTTAGGACCATTCAAGCTGCGTCTTTTTAATCCACTCTGTTACTCTTTTCTTCCCTCAATGGTGAACACCTTTAACACTGCTGCCCTAGGTGTCTCTGAGCTGTAGATGAATAATGTAGAGTAATTAGTGTGGTACAAATGTTATCTAATGGATCAGGGCAGCTACAATGAGAAACTCTTAAGTATACGTTTCCAAAGTATTCAAATTCTATGCAGTGAATGTGTTCAGCGTCTTTCTTTCTGTACAACTTTTAAAATTGCCCAATTAGTTGTTTTATCCCCTGGCTGAAGATACATCAAAGAGAAGGGTTAGCGTACTGCCATGTAACTATATCTGCCTATTTTTTTTGCAACTATTTTAATTAATTATTAATGATTGATATAAACTGATGTAGTAAATTCATTGTGACTTTTATCAAGTGAATCCCTTTGCTCCAGTACTCGTGTTTTATACAGGTTATTCAATTCTTAATGTGAACAATGGGATTCTGTGTTTTTCTGTTAGATGAGAGAACCTTTGCATCGAACAACAAGAGGCATGCAAGCTTCAAAGGAATAACTGTGAGTGATGAATGGTGAAATCTTGTTGTGTTTCTGAAAGTTACTCAAGGAAATTGATATAAAGCTCTCAAACACTTCACTTGAGAGCTTTTTTGATTTCATAGTAAGTACCGATGGTTCCTAATGAAAAATGATGGCTTAAATTTAAGTAGATTCATGATAGTAACATTGATTTAATTTGAAATCTCCTCTGTGTTAGTCCCTAGTTGTTAGCTTGGCAACTACTCATTAACCATACTAAAGAGTTTGGCCCTGCGGATGTATAATATTCATTTACAGACAAGAGCCCCCGACAAGAAAGTGCTATTACAGCTCTCTAAGCCCAAGGTTCTTCCTCCAAGAAGCAGTAAAAAAGAATTGGGAATAATGAAACATGTTACCATGGCTGGTTCTGACAGCTGTTCTTGCTCATCGGTCTGCAATTCTTTTTCTCTTTCTGCAGCAACAAGGGAATCATCTGGATGAGATATGGCAAGATATGCTCGCTCTTCTTCTCTGGTTTCCTCTCTCATTAAACGTCCATGCATTTGTGTGTCTTCGTCTGAAGAGTCATCCTCATGTGGAGCCAGACCAAGGCTATCGCTGGACATGTCATCTCCACTATCTTCATGAAAAAAAAGAGAGATTCAAGTTTTACTTTGAATTATGATTTGAGGTGTACAAAGATTTAGCTAGATCCAAAATGTGAACACATAGTCATCCCTTTATTTATCATCTTTAATTACTGAAGCTACCGTTTAAACGCTAACATACAATGATTTTTTCTTTCTGATAGGATTGTCCTTGGCATTTCCAAAGAGCTGAAAGGAATAAATGGAATAAGGTGAGGTTAAATTCTTAAAGTCTGATACCAGGAACTGGGACTGAGTGAATACACAAGGACATATGAGTTTGGAGGATGCTATTTTTATCTGAGTTCGAAGTTCACTGCCTCCCTGTTTGTTGTAACATGGCAAGTATTTATTACAACTCAAATCAATATTTTGAAAAATAAATAACAATTTTTTGTAGTTGGGTCTAAATTGGCTTTGTCTCCACAGGTAAATAAAAGTAAGCCATTCCTGTGGGGATCCCCAAACATTGTATTCATATGAACTGCCTGCCCACTGAGAGTTGTGTTCAGATGTAGCCTGGAGAAATGTTCCATCAAGAAAGATTCAACTGCAAAGACCCCTGTGGTTCCCTGACCATAAATATGAATTCTTCTTTATTCTTTGAAACCCAAATCATGGTTTCCAGAAAGATTGCTTGGCCTCAAGGAGACAGTATGAAGGAGGCTGACTGGTTGTACAAATACAGGTGGACACTTTAGATACATACAGCCCAAGATACAGCCCCAAGATTCCAGCGACAACAACCATAACCATTACATATATGAGTGACAATTCATATCATTACTGGCTTGAAGCTGCTTTAGACCACTATTTACTGTCTAGATACCTTCCTTATGTATACTTTGATATTCACCATGGTGCCCTCCTTTAATGTAGCTCTATTGTGTTGTTTTATTATTTATATGTTGTGTACAATGCATCAAGTGTATTTTTTATATTTGCAAAATTAAACCTTGTGTAATAGGTCGATATTATTTGTACACCTAATTCAAAGACACATCTTTGGGTTTGCCTTTGTATGCAAAATATAGACAAAGTCTTTTCTATTGAATTCTATTATATTCTTTATTATTCTATTTAATCTTGCAGTTTATGAATCAATGCACACCTCTTTATGGATTACACTGGAGAGAGAGTAACTGATAATAAAGAAATATATTTGAAAAAAGATAAATAAAAAGTTCCTATTGGATTTAGATTAAGGGCAGGTTGTATATCATGACACTAAGTCCCTAAAAAGCAAAATCATGAATTTGTCTCTAAACATATTATGTCAGGTTAAAGAAGTAAATGTAAAAGACTGTGAAAGACTGAGGCTGACTGAATTATGGATAAGACTGTTTGTTTGGGGGGAAAGCCAAAGGTGGGGCTCATTGACCCAGGTGTTCCTTCAAGCAGTCTGTCACTCAATAATCAATCCGTTACTCAAATCAGTGATGATTCAGGAAACTCATTAAATACCTGCACTTTCATACAATTAGCCCATTTTCAGCAACAGACAGCAACCATCTTTATGTTTTATTCTGGTACAGCAACAATTATTTTACAGTCATATGTTGCAAAAACTAAAGCACACACTTCAGCCTTAACATTTAGAAAATGTTAACTGTTCACCAGTCTGTAGACTGAGACTACTAGTAAATAAAAATCAATCCATCGGTATCCCCTTGTAAACACCATTTACAGCGCAAAGCTTGTGCTTACAGACCTTCAGTTTCCAGTGTTTTCTGACTTCGCCTGTATTGTGATGACTATTCATCTTCAAACATAGCTAAGGCTGTGTAATGGTTGTTCAGATCACAGTAGCCACTTTTGTCGTTAAAAATAAAACCAGCAGGAACAGCAGTGCAGTCGCAGACTTTCAGCCACACTTTTCTCTGCTACCAGCACGTTTGAAAGCACAGTTCAGTTTTCCATCCCTTTGCTTTGTTGTTTTAAGTAAGTTTATTAAGGGGTAGTTCTCTCTCTTGTTATAATTCACCCCTTCATCTTCAATCCAATTTAGCACAACAAATAATTCTCGACATGTCTACAGCCATTGCCATTAATGACTGGATTTAAGTTAGTTACAAGGAAATGTGCTTTACTGTTTCAGAAGTGCCATTCAACAGACACACCCACAGTGTCCCAGAGCAGAGATTACTTCTTAATGTTTCATGATTTTGAAACCTAATCTATAAACTTAGCATTTTTTTCATTACTGCAACTTCACCTGGTTGTTAAAAACAGTCTTTTGTTGCATAAAAATACAAAATAAAATTTTGTATTGCTTCACTCAGACTTTAAATAAGCCAAACAGGAAGCATCCATTATCAAGTTGTTCTTAAAAAAACAAAGTTAAGAACCCGTTTACATATTCAACACTGCCTCCTTTTTCTTGCGAGTTGGTGAAAATGTAGCCTGAAACTGAAGGATCCATGCCAAGAGAAATGTGTATCAACTGCTAATATGCCATAAAAAATAACCTTTGCAAATCACATGATTCTAGATAGACCTGGAAATTGAATGAGGTTAAAATTGGCAGATGCTTTTTGAATAATGAGGACGTTTTGCTCAATAACTGAGTCCCAATCGGGACCACAAGCAAAGAACTGTATCATTGGCAAACATATGAATGTAGGAGGGCTTATTTCTGATTGCATGTGTTGTTGAACTGACACAGCACTTTTACTGACAGATTGTGGGTGTACTACCTGATGTTCCAGTTATAGTCACCGCCCCTCTTTTAGAAACACACTTTGAGTTTTGTTTTTGAAGCTCAAACTGCAGCACCAACACTGAGTATTGATGCATCATTCAGTAAAGAAAGTTCAGACACCAAGTTCAACGACGGACCAAATGTTCTGCAAGAAATCAGTCTGCAATAGTTCAGAGGTGCTTCTTGTCAACAGGCAAGGCAGGCAACTGATTGGGGCCCCAGACCAGTAGGGGGGTCCCTGAGGGCTCACAAACTTAAACCAAAGCTGCCGCCCAAAATGTGCAAATTTTGCGATGACCTCCCTAAGGGAGCCCCATCCGAGAGCATTCATTCTTGTTGCCCTGCTAAGCGCTGCATGCGTATTGCATGTGAAAACTAAAGTTTGTCAATGAAAGTCAACAAGGAAAAATGAAGAGTAATTATCCATCTATACGACAGAAAAAAGAAACAGGAAAAAAAAGGAAGAGTAGCAAGCATCGGGACACTGGTAGATATGATGGTGATGAACGCTGGTCGGAGGGCCCCCCGATACTGATTCTCGCTTAGGGCCCCAAGAGACTCTAGAAGTCCCACTGTGCATGTTCTTAAAACAACTTTGGAAGGCAACAAGTAGTTTGTACTATTTTTATTTAGACTATCTTATGTCGAATTTACTCCAGAAAAGAATAAAGTGCAGAATTTAGACAAGATGCTAAGACATGTCATCCTGAGACCCTCCTCTCTCGTCCCGTCCGACAGGGAAAATCTCCTGCTGAGGAAAAATGTAATAGAGCAACCCTGGACAATTTTAGGGGCATGTTCTCCTGAAATGTTCTATCATTTTTAAGGAGTGCATGTGTGAAATGGCTTAATTGATGTTTTGTCACGATTAATACTTGTCAGTTTGCACACAGACATACATGAAGACAAAGCAAACTCATTAATCACTTACCTATTGATAACTCCTCCTCCTCTTCCTCCTCCACTTTCAAAGCCAAAGGAGAATCCTGGGAGACAACGAAGTTGTGTGATAGAAGTGATGGGATACACTGAGTATCCTGTTGTGATGCAGTAGATTCATGGTCACCAGAGATAGAAGTAAAGGACATAACAATTGGAGTATCCTGATTTGTTGGAGTAGACGCATGTCTTGAATAAGCACCTGGAGGGGGTCTTACAGCTTGACATGGTTCCAGTGTTCTTGGTGGCGGGTTTGGGCTGGGAGACACAGGTGACTGAGGCAGCTGGAGTTGATGGTGTGATAGGAGAAACTCAGGGTCACAAAGGGACTGCTGGGATTGCCTTTGGGACAGTAGATTGCTTGGGGATGATTGGGAAAGCCTCACTGATGAGACTGACTGTGAGAATAACTGGGAAGATTGGGGTTGTACTGGTAACAGAGATGAGTCTGAGCCTATTTGTGGTGGGGTCGATTGGTTAACTGTGGGCAGCAATGGTGACTCAGTGGAGCTTGATGGTGATACTGTAAATGTAGACCGAAGAGAAAAAGATATGGAAGGAGAAGGGGAGCGAGGCTCCTCTGGGAGTGTTGGTGTGGCACTAGCCAAAGGAGAGACATCGGGCTGAAAAGAGGTAGGAGAGTGGGAGGACATAGGGATCCTGGTTTGATCTTGTAATGAGAGAGAGGACATAAGTTGGGGTGATCCACAGTCAGGTTTTGATTTATAGACTGTGGGGGAGCAATAAGGCTTGTGTGACATTATGGTCGGTGTCTTGATTGATTTCTTTAAAGCCCTTGGAGTCTCAGCAGTGGAGCATGCAGATGACTTACTTTCAGAGGATGACGCTGCATAAAATATAACACAAACAACAATGTGGATATTAGCTGCCTTTGTGGGCATGCAGTCACATATATGTTTTTTTTTTATTCAAAAGTACACTGGTATAAGGAAAATTAGCTTTGTCCTTGATTAAGGCAATGCTGCAGGCATAAGAGCTCAATACTGAATGATCACCAACAACCAATTGATTTGTAATATGTTACAGTATGGTCAATATTCACTTCACCTCATGAAACACCTTTCTCAAAAGTGTGACTATAAATACTCTGGAGGGATGGTGTAACCACAAACTACAACTGGTTCTTAGCACTTATTCCAGACAATGTAGAAGTTTTTACTGGAGTTAGAACAAGTTAAACAGCAGCAATCATTCATGTCTTATTCCTCAGTCTCTCTACACTTCATTTTTATGCTCTGAATGTCCGCTGTGCATTGGAGCCACACAACTCATTGGCCTCTTATCTCAAAGGTTTTAAAAACAGGCACCACTTAAAGCATTCAGATTTTTGACCACACAGAAACTACAACACATTACAATACTGTAATCTATCTTTCTGTATTTTTCCGTCATGACAAGTGTGGCAAAAAGAGACATGACTTAGACATGAAACTTAACCAAACGTTCCCTCATAAGAATACATAAAGAGTAGAATTTATTGTGTTTAGATTTGTTTTTTCTTTCATTATAAAAAAAAGGAAATGCTTATTTGGGTAACGTGTATTTAAATGTGTTCCTTGAAACCCTTCTCAAAAGATAAACAGCTGCTGGCTATAGAAAAAAAAACAGCGAGGATTTTCCCTTAACTCGTGTAAAATACAAAAACATAACACAAACATCTAACTTTGTATTGTATGTCATATTAGTGAAGTCTGAATTTGGAAATATGGAGCTTCTTAGTTTATTTGGTTAATGCTGGGGGAAGAGGGTTGACTTTTGAGGACTCACCATTGGTTAAGGGTGTTTGGGGAACTGTTGCTCTTCCATTACTGAGGACTTGCTGACCAGGGGAAAACCTGCATGACAAAAAAGAGCATTTAAGAGAGGCCAAATCCATCTGTATTTAATAAACACAACTTTCTGGCACTGACATTGTTACGTATAGTTAGCAACCTTGTGATAGCTTTAACATGTTTTACTGACAATTGACTCCAACCTCCAAAAAACTGCCCTTTCTATCATGTCAAGACGTTTATATTAAAACGTAGGTCCTACTGTTTCCTGTTTTATCTGGTGAATGGATTGGATGAGTATCTTACCTTCTTATTTCTCAAAATGACTTCAAAGCAATTTCAATGAGGAAGACATACGTTTTTTCAGATTATTTTTCACAGGCTACTTAAAACATTGCATAAATTGCTCTCTAAATTACTAACCAATGTGCCACCAGCGCCCCACCACACATCATTCTTAGACCCAAATGCCCATGTTTAATAGATATCAAAGGTAGATATTTTTATGTGGTTCATAACCTTGATCACATGTTGAATTAAAAAGCCCAAAAATCACTGAGTAGATCAATATTTTTAAATATTTTGTGTGTGAAACACTTTATACTTGTGTAAGTTAAACTTGTGCACTGGTCAGTTAAACTTGTGCACACAGCCCACTTTGAACATGGTAGGCACAGGTGAGGTCACAGCAGATACATTTTTAATTTAAACTCACTTTCCATTGTTGTCTTTCCTCTGTTGACGAATGAAAACTCCACCTATGTCTCTGTCTCTCTGCAAAAAAAAATCAAAAAACAGTGAACACCTGAGCAATACAGAGAGGAACAGAAACAAAGAATTAGCTGGTTACTCTGAAGCCTTGCCAACAGTAATAAGTATGTGTGTTTGTGTCTTTTTTTTCAATTTGCACTGTCTAGATTCACATCTGTTGATGGATTTGTTGAATTGAAAAGTTTCACTCATTCTCACTTCATCCAGGACTTCTATGATGAGACACGATTCAGGTGTGGTCGTCTGAGGATCAGTCCTACCCCTGCTGTGAGGGACAGCAAACAAGGATGCAAAGTAGCGCCGAAAATCCTCCTCCTCAGCTGAAAATAGACACACACGCACGCACGCACGCACGCAAGCACGTACGCACGCACGCACACACACACACACACACACACACACACACACACACACACAGGAGGGAAAGTATGTGTGTTTTTGATTGTGTTTTTTTGTAGTTTCTGCAAAACATTTCTTTAACCAGTCATCTTTGTTGGGTTGTTTTGTTAATTTAAGGTAAAAAAAAAAAAAATTAATAAAGTACAGTACAGATTCCCTTGTTCTTTCATGACAAAATCATTTTTAAAAGCATTCAATGTTTGTGTTACAGTACGGAGGGGGAGCAAGTACAAACTTGAATGATTAAATGTGGACAGAGCTTTGTTGAAAGACTAACTCAAGATCATGACTAAAAAGTGTGTTTTCAATAGATTTTCAATTCAAATAGACACAATAATAGAATTGTAATTAGCTTATTGTTCTTTCTTTTTGTATGTTCGTAACCTCAAACATCCAGCTCCAAGCCCTAGCCATAAATCATCATAACAGTTGAACAAATATTGCAGTGTTGCTTTAAGAAAAATCTTCATTTTGAAATGGTGACATAATCTTAGTTTGCTAAAGTGATGTTTACAATGAGTTAAATGGAATCAGAATAAAATACATTTGCTTCTGAGTAACTTTTCAGCTGTGTTTCCAGAACCTCCAATCTGATCTTTATTTTGAAAGAGGCCATTGGACATGTGAGGATACCTGACAACAATCAGGAAATAGCCTTCTCTTACACCTTCCTCCTCAAGGGATCAGAGGTCAGGGTCAAAGACTTGGGTCTTTGTTTTGTTCAGTTATCAAAGCTGTAAGAAGTTGCTGATGCAGCAGGGGATGAACAGAGATCTCTCTTGTTTTAACACTACACTGCTGCTCAAAAAGACAGCAGACATGTTTTCAGTTCCTGTTTGTCTCTGTGATTATCTGTTTGAACTTGGGAATATCCAAAGATCATTATTATTATTATTATTATTATCATAATCGTTCTTTATAATTTCATCTCATCTAGTAATTCATGCACTCATACATACAGTATGGGTGTCTACAGGCTTTAACTTTAAAAATCCAGCAACACGTACCAATAATCAAAACAGGATTAACAGTAGGTTAAAAAACTGATGGTAATTTACACCCTCAATATAAAAAAAAAACCTATGTATGTTGAAACTCTTCAACTTTTTCCTGACTGGTAATTTCCTCATTGTCATTTAAGTCAATCGGGAAAATGAATGCTCCTGGCATGATGCATGGAAACAGTTTTTTATTATTCATGGCCACACACATGGCCCACCCATTCAGGTTCAAAGACAAGAGAGGAGGAGAAACTCAACAACCTGTTGTCATTGTCAGATGTCAGAAAAGTTTGAGGCAGGTGGAAGGAATAGTTTATCAGTTGCTGAACAGCTTTACATTTCCCAAAGACACTGCAGTCTTCCTCCCATCTGCATATCACTGAGCAATGGATTATCAATTATTAAACAGTTTTCTTCAAGTGCTGCAGTTAGATAACCACTTTAACTTCAAACTATTCCAAGACCAGTATACTTTGATTTGCTTATATTGTATTTTCTCTCAACACCCTGTCAAAAAAATATGCAAAGAAAACAAAATGACAACTTTCTTGGGATAAGAGAAACTTTGCATGAGAAAAACTACATCAGAAAGAAAAGGTTTACAGCCTCCTTAAGACCACTCAATATGACTGTATGAAGACTTGCAACACATCTCTGAAGTGAATGACTCTGGCTGAACTCTCACCCTTTATCTTCACAAAGGCCAAGCTCTGAATGAGACAGAGGGTCTGTAATAGCATTCATACCGTTATTAACTAACTAGAGGTTACTGTTGAATATCGTGTCTGCTTTATGAGTGTCTAGCAACAAACAAGAATTTCACCCAGCGTTCAGTGTTGTGCAATCAAGTCCTTCTGGAAAATAAATGTTTGGTTTGAGGTCATACAGTACTGATGGCTAAAAGCTAGTTTTTGAAGTGTGAATGCAAGAAGAGAGGGAATGATTTGTATGTTTAGAATGGGTTTTTTCAAAGTGCAAGCAATGGTTGAATGGCAGGCATTATGAAAGATGCTGGGGCAGGGAGAGAAAGAAGTGACAAAAGTTCAAAGCAGCTTTTATTTGAAAAATAAAAAAAAGTTATATTATGTTTGATTCAGAACAGTTTCAAGAAATATGCTGTTACGTTTTAGTCTGTTGTTAAGAAATCTCTCATTTATCAGGCTGGGCCCAGTGGAGGGCTGCAATAGTTATTGGGAAGTTTTTAAATGCACCTTATTCCTTTTGGACACTCCAGGTACCAAGAAAGCGTTATCAAGTTCCCATCTACTGAGTAGGTTATTTAGTTTTTATTGTTGGGGAACACAGGGAACCATTTGGACCTGGAAAATGTTTTAAAGCGACGCTACTATTTGTGATAGACAGCTATGAGGAAGGGGGCAAGCAAGGGCTAGTAGATCCTAACAAGGTCACGTTTGGAGCGAATCTTGATCGACGTTATGAGAGGCAGTTGGCAGCCCCAGGGTCCAGAGGTTTGGCAGGGGAGAGATAACCGTGGTCTACCCCACTTTCTGACAGCCTCTGCTGCAGGCCAGACAGGCAGGACTCTATACTCTGACTGATGAGCTCCAGGCCCTGAGATCCAGACTACAGGGCTACCCCAAGCCTCATCTCCCTACCCCATTCCTTACAGGCTGAGTGCAACCTGTCAGGCATGAACCGCCTCTAACGTACCTCCGCTCACACAATCACAGGCAGTGATTACCCGTCACACTGCCAGGGATGAATGGGCAGGCACTGACACCCCCTGACACCCCGATCTACTGAGAGAGAAAGTGTTTTTTTTTTTACCTTTGCATGTCATTTTGTACCAGTATGTGGAGCTATAAACATAAGAAATAAGTTGTGCATTGCAAGTAAAGATGCTCATGGACATACAACTGAGCTGTGTTGGGTAATGTAACTCATTACATTAAAAGATTAAAAGTAAAAAGTAACTTGTGACTAGAGTGATGTTAAAAAAATGAAAGCCCCTTTGCAGCTTTCAGCCCATGCCCGTTAAATGGTCCAGAGGGCACGTAGCCGACTGTGCGTCTGCCTTTCAATGTACTGCCTCTAGTGTCATTGCACGGCCTCTCTGACAGCCCCTGACCTGTAACTCTGCAGCCTAATAACGGGAATGACAGAGGCAATGTAACAGCTTACAAAAGTCAAAATAATGGTTATATTTCCACGAAGTAAAGGCTGACCTCTTTGCCATTTTTACTGGCTGAATTAGCTAGCTAGACATGCGCTCTGACACATCTGAAGGCCGACCTTCTGCTCGTGCGCAGCTATCTGCTCAGAGGACGAGAAAGAGAAACTGCACGTTCTTCTGGGATTTATTTTATTTTAATTTTCAGGCGACAAAAGGAAGAGGGAAATGCAGCATCTTTCCAGTAACGGATAACATGATTTGTGGAACTAACGCGTTACAATTACTTTGTAACAGATTACCCCAAACACTGCAACTGAGTGTATTTGTGCCTGCGTGCACATATGTGTGTATCACCTGTAAGGCTGCTTGCAGTCTCCTCCTCGGTGTCTGGGTTAGGTTGTGATTTTAAATCTGATTCAAAGGCCAACGATGGACTATGGGCTTCAATCGGTGTTCTGGAATTAAAAACACAATTATAAATCATTAAATCATTAATAAATTAAAAACAAAATGTTAACACACGTTTTTGAAGTTGTATGTTCCCTTTCTGTTATTCATTTATCCTGATACATGGGCTGCTGAACAAAAAGATAGAGATTTAGTCAGATACATGCATACATATTTAGTTATTTTAAAGCAGATAACCTAAAAAAGTCATACCATTCCACCTAACCTCTATTCCCTTCCTAGTATGATCTGGCCAAAGTGCAGGACCAGTGAGAGAGCCTTTGTGAAGAGCTCCAGGCTGCCCATGAGGAGTGACTTGGGAAGTTTTACAGTTTTTATCTTTTCCTCTGACTTAGTTCTAACCCTCAAACCTGGTGGTGTTTATCTTTTCTCTGTCTATTTAATGTATTCATACAGTTGTATTTAATCCTGTCCCTCACGTCCCTTTTCTTATCCTTTTGCTCCCTACATCCGTCTTTTTTCTACTACTTCCATACAGTACTTTACATGCAGATACCTCACTAGTCATAGGCTGTTTGCATTTAAGCTTAAGCCAGAGCCCATCCCCCTCCACCACCCCGGTGCTACATGTCTACTTCATTGAATGCAGAATATATAGACTACTCAAAACTGAATTATTTATATTTATGAAGAAGAAAGAAGATGGAGCACAGTATTCAGAGACTTTTACCAAGTTAAAATGGTTTAAGCATGGTGCACAAACTGACCCATAATAAGTGTTTAATTTAAAATCCGCCACCAGGGGGACTCTCAATCAAAACAATAACACAAGATGATGTCGAGGCTAGCGGGGAATCATGGGAGTTCTCTCTGCTACTCTACTACTTTTTAAACCAATAACCTTACGGCTCTGCCCTCACTCTTTTCACATAACCATAATGAAGCAACATTGTCACTTGTCACTTGTGCTTAGTGAGGTGATTGGAACCCAGTGATACGGACTATTATGATAGTTTGTTTTGCTTATTTAGAGACAGCCTTTCTATGTGCCTGAAAACAGCATATATGCCTTGTAGTTGGAATAAACTTCTATTATTAAAAAAATTAACCCTGGGTCTTCTTCATGTTAACTAAAACATAACCTGAAATTAGGCCAATTTGGGGTTTTACATTTGGCAGAACGAGTTAGGCTCAGGCAGGTCAAGTCTTATAGATGCAGGGAGGAGCCAGTTCACAGCTCGGCTGTGTGCCTGTGCAGATTTGTATTTCAGGGTTCAGTGCTTTGATCACAGACACTTTCACTAAGGCAGTTGATGGAAGGGCGTGCATTCACTTACCCCATCAACACTGCCGAGCCAGCACAGGAAATCAGATTGATGCCCCCCTGGTCCCAAGCTTGCTCTGTAACCTGCAGGCCCCCCACAAATATAACAAGGTGATAGAGTTTATGACTCTAATATAGCTGAGCACTTTTAGCAAATTCTTTAAAACTCTTTCCTCCTCCATACTCCCTCACTCCCTTCTTCCTTCTCTCCATTTCCCATTATTAAAGAAGCTTGTTAAAATTCAGCCTCCCACTCTTTCTTTCTGCCAGCCAGCCAGTCTCTCTGTCTCTCCATTAAGCTCTGCCACCATCAGCGCTGCAGGCTTATTGCACTCTAGATTGGCTCTCTAGTCTATTCCACAGTTAAAGGCTGCTACAGCTTGGGACTTCTAGCTCAGGCAGTCAGCGGGCCTAAAACTGCACTCTGCACTGCTCTCCTCTGGCCTGCTCTCCTGTGGACTCCTCAGCCCAAAAGTAGCCGCTTAAATAAAGGGCTGTAATAATGGGACCTGCCGAAGCCAGGCCCTCAGGCAGTCTACTGCACAATAAGTGCGAGAAACTGCTTTGTACACTGTTGGCAATGTAAGCTTCAGAGAGGCAGACGCAGAATAGGAAGGTGTGTACGACATGCATGAAAACTGAGTGCACGTGGATTTCTACATGTTCCCATGAATTAAGAGGCAATAAAGGAGAGGTGTTCCCAGTTTCCCTTTGTGAAATCTGTATTGGTTGGTTAAATTGTTGGCATGTCTTTCTTCTGCTTTTATGTGATATCCATGGCCACATGAGACATTGTAGAACTAATGCAAATGAGTAACACTTGAGTCTTTTTGGCCTTTTGCCTTTATTTACAGGAGAGTGAAAAGATAAAAGAAATAGAATAGAGAGCAACGCTGACATGCAGCAGAGGGCAGAGGGTATGGTGGAGCTCAGTACTTCTGCGTTGAGGATTGGGGCGTCTGTTTTACCAACTAATCTTAACTGTTGCCCTACTGCAGCCTTTAAAACTTGAAATGTCAGATAGTGCTGTTCAAATGAAATCACATTGGTGGGATTTTTTTTTCTTCCAAAAAGATGAATAAACTGTCACGGATTAAAATATTGTCCGTCACGATTCTTCATGAAGTAAATACAATAAACATAACAATCAATGGGTAGCATTAAAATTCTATTTTGTGTAATGCCACAATGATTAGGAGAAACTGAGTTGTTATCCAGACACATTTTTTCAAACTATCTTCCCACACGCTCCAAAGCAACTAGTGTGTGGTGTGGTAGTTTTTCATATTACAGTAACACAGCGACTGTTTGTAATCCCAACAGTGCCTCATATGAAAGGCTCAGTCAAAACTCTGATTCTTCTAAAATAAAAAAGAAATGCAACTGAACAACTTTGAGTTTCTTCTCTTGAAGAAGAGAAGAGGAAGTGATTTTGAATTATGAAGATCTTTTTCAGGCATGATGAGAGGGCAAAAGCAAAAGCTTCACATTTGACCTTTGATGTGAAACATACGACAGAAGCCTACATGCTTTAGAGTATGTATGTGTGGTGTAGCCTATTATTGTCTGCCTTTGTACAGTACCTGCGATGCTTTTTGAGAAGCAATCTGTCCATGTAGGTAAGGCTGTTTTCTGTGAACTCCACCCTGAAAGGTACCCTGTCTTCTCCTTCTCCTTTTCCTCGTCCTTTGGTTCCTCTGTCTGAAGCCAGGCCAGTCTGTGTCCCCATGGCTGACACTGACACTAGAGAAATGTGGGAGAGGGGAGAAATCATAAACACACACGCACACACACAAATGACCTACACACAAAAGTTATGGTAAAGAAGAGAAGAGGAGGAAAACTTATTCAAAAGGAAAGAGAGTCACACAAATGTAGAAGAGAAGCAGGAAAACATCATTTACCAGTTCATCATTTACCAAACCACCTCCCCTCAAGATGTGAGAAAAACCCCTTGTCACAATGCCAAGGGTGCCAAAACAAAAATAGACAGACAAGAGCCCCCCTGGGAATAAGAACAAGATGTAAACAAAATAAAAGGAACATTGTAAGCGCATGCGAGAAAAGGAAAGACAGAGGTAAGAAAGAGAAATGTTATGATTGTACTCCAGACACTTTGGCAGTCCACAGTGGCAGCTTTAAATTGGGCCTGGGTGCCATTGGCCTGACAGAAATAATTAGGGCTGGAGGGGCTGGCAGCAATTTGAAGAGCAGAGTGAAGTGAGAGAGGAGCAGAGTCTGTCCAAGCAGTAAAGCAGAGAGGGAGGCCTAATAAAAAGCACAAACACCTAGATACACACACACAAAATCTGGAATAATAGTGCTTATAATATACACCCACGGAAACCATAACGCACACACACATGCAGACGCACACACCGTTGCACATGTGCACATGTAGAAACACAGTATGTGTGAAAGGGCAGAGAAATTGCCTGACGCAACGGAGCTTGCACACATAAGCATTCAAACTGCCGAGGCATTTAGTGCTGTGGTGTGGAGTAGGGCCACCCCTAACACTCCTCTAATTATCTCAATATGCAACAGCCATGGATTACCCTGCTCCTGCAGTGGTAAGCAGTTTCTATGACGCCCTAACAGATCAGAGAGAGGGGGAGAAGAAAAAAATGGAAGTGAAGGAGTAAAGCATCGACGGAAATGTATGGTAGGCAAAGGTGGAAAATATTTACTCAATTTGATAGCATTCAAACCGTTTTGAGGCACCTGCTGTTAAGTTGATGGCAGAAGATTTCTAGGGAGACATTGTTGTCTCATTTTCGCTGCACTATTTCATTTAATAGCCATAATCACATGGTTGAAATAGCTTTTACATCCAATACACAGTCAAAACTTGTTCAATATGATACTATTTATCAACTTCACTGTTTTACTAAGCATCATCTCCATCTTACACATCCCATGTTAATGGAACAGGTCTTCAGAATAAAATAAAAAAATATTGTTTTTAACTAACCAATAGTCAAGTGCTTTTCCAGTACAGGGAATACAAGACAATATAACAGGTGTAGATTAGACATACCATGAAAACTTGTGCAATCAAATGCAATAGATCATTGCTTCCCCAAGTGTGGGCCCCCTGGTGAGCCGTGTGGGTACTGCAGGTGGGCCGCAAAAAGCCCTCCACCAATTTAAAAAATAAAATAAATATTAAAATAATGATGATTTACCATGAGTCAACCCTTTAAGCGATTAGTAAGGCGTGTCATGACTATTCATGGACATAATGTTTAGTAACCTTTTGTGTCTATCTTGCCATAATATCATGTTGTAATGTCCAATAATTTAACCCTTACTGAAAGTTATAGATGTAGTCATAAATAATTTTTTTATAATGGGCCCCGGGGTAATTTTGTATTTCAAAGCGGGGGTAATTTCAAACCGGGGTAATTTTGTATTTCAAACCCTCGGCAGTCTTAAGTTTGGGAAAGGCTGCAATTGAAGATCAAAGCCCCACAACAGATCAACCACAGTTAACACAATAAACTAGAGCTTAAAATACTCGTCCAAAGTCAACCCAAGTCCAAGCACTGATTCAATTCTATAACATTAACAGGGGAATACTGTGTTGCATTTCACTAGATTGCACAGGTGTTCATGATGTGCATAAAACATCTATCCATGAATTGAAAAATAAAGGAATGGCGTGAGTATGGTTGAAAGAGAAGATGATAACAAAAAATATGATGAAAATGGTACTTATAACCTCATCAATATATATTTCAAAACACTGGGCAAACCTATACTAAGTGAGACTCTGGATGCTGGATGAATAAACCTCGCTGCTCTAACTGAAGGACAGTCTTTCTGTTGATGGTCAGCTTTATGTTAGTGTTAGTGTCCGGTCCACAAGCACCTCTATGAAGTTTACCTGGTCGGACAGGTGTCCACATCGCCTCCTCACTCATGGTTTCTCCTGCAACATCTCTCTTCTCTCCTCTCCACTGTCTGAGAGCCTCCTGGAAAGATCTCGCAGACTCCTCCTCATTGAACTCCCCTCTCAGCAGAAACGTGGAAAATCCCCTCTCACGATCACTTTTTGGCCTCTCTTCCATCATTCCCTCCTTTTTCTCTTCATGGCTCACATGGAACACCTGCTATAAAACAAGTAATATTAAAGGCTGCCCAAGCTGTGGTGTATGGTTAAAAGCTTCCCTGCTGTGTATGTATATTATGACTAAAGGTAAGTGCAACAATATATACGAACAAAACAATCTGCATATTGTACACAGGGGGTTGTTATTTAATATATTCAATCTGTTTATGCTAAATAGAACAATTAACAAGAAATGAACTTCAATGTTTAGTTAATCAGTTGCTGTAGTTGCTGCTAAGGGTGACCCCAAATATTCAAGGATTTAATCGAAAGAACATAATTTGACTGCCAGTCCCACAGATGAACACCTGTTTATGAAACAAAGATCATTCCATTCCAGCTACGGTATATGGGGTGCTTAGCATCTGATTTTACATAGATTTGCCTGTTCTCTCCAAATAAATAACGAACCCTAGCCTATCTTGGTTTAAATTTAAACTTTTCTGAATTTTGAAAATAACTGATGTACTTACAATAACTTAAAGAGATTCAAATCCATGGGTTGTGTAACCCTATATTGTTATAAACGTTTATTTTGCGATTGTTGTGTAAGGTAAACTCGCTTTAAGCTTGAATAGCGTTTTTCTAGTCTTCTGAATACTCAAAGCGCTTTTAGATCGCAGGTCACACCTACCTATTCACATCCAGTCACACTGATGGCAGAGGCTGCTATGTGAAGTGACCATCAGTATTAACTAATCCATTCATGCTAATTTACACGCTGCCAACAAAGCAGCAGGAGCAACTTGTGATAAAGTGTGCCCAAGGACACATTGGACATGTGTCTGCAGGAGCTGGGGATCAAACCTCTGACCCCCGACATTCCGGCCACAGCCATCTCATGTACCTCTTTGTTCGATGTTTGACTGACAGTTCGTGTCATTTGATCATCTAGTTGTTTCCGTGTGCAATTAAGATAAATAGAAGTTTTGTACCTGGCTACTCTGTTTTCATTTTTAGCTTAAGCCATTAATCTTCTGTATTGTAAATGTGTAATACTGTTATAAGGTCCCCAAAATGATGACTTACAGTAATGAGTAAAATAATGTATTAAGTCCTATCATAGAATAAATTGTTGTTTTAGAAGACAAATATTTTAATTACATGATTGTAAGTTGCTAATGAGAATATGGCTCAATGAGCACAAAAAAAACATTCAACTATCAGTCGACTATGGGCAAAAACTGACCAATCAGATTGGACTATGTAAATCCTTAGGCAGGTATACCCCTAGTTTTGCTTTAGCTGATGCTTGTGTTCTTGCTCTTTGTTTTGTTTAAACAGGTAGTCCGAACGCCAGTTTGATATAAACAGTATACCAATCTTTAAAGTACTTTCTGACCCCAACTGTTTGAAATGACTATATTTTCCATTAAGGTCAACTGAGCTCTGTGTGGTTAAGAGTCTAAAATGTCAATCTCACTGGTTATGCAAAACTCAGACTGTCGGAGTGCATTTTTAGTCAGGAGAACATGCAGCTCACAAGCCTGTCAGTAGATGCAGCCTGTGGATTTGGCATCAATTAGGCTTTGTTTGAAGTCTTTCAAATGGATTCACTTGGTGCAGAGTTATGACACACAGGGTGCACAGTCTTGTTTGACATGTTTCTGCTGTATTGTCACAGCAAGTGAAAATAAATTGACGGAAATTCATTAAAAGGTCAATAACCAATTGAGAACAACATATACGTAAGGCCGTCCCGTCCATGTAAACATGATGTAAACACAGCTCCGACAACAATACAGCTGGAATGACTCACGCTTCTCACTTCAGTCCTAAACCCGGCCCTTGATCATGTATTACAGGCATGTATTAATTTGTGTGGATAAGTAAATGATGGTAAAAATGTAGACTTACCTGACTGTTATCATGGTGCAATTGCATAGGTTTTGCCTCCACCTCTGTTTCTTCCCCTGGTTGCTTATCTCCATGTATGGTTAATGCATTGGACATAGAGGTGAGATCTGGTCTAGGTTTGGATTTGGGACTGGGTTTAGGGCTTGTAGGAGCAGGATAGGAGTTGGGGTTATACTGTTTCTGGATGCAGCTGACCACATCCCGAGTGCTCACATGAGTCTGTAGGTCTGTCTGTAAATTAAAGCCATAACATTACATTAAACAATGGTGAGGGTATTAGCTGAAATTAAGACAAAATGATAAAAAACAAAAATGACACACAGTATTAGCCCAGTATTAGTGGGCGCATACTAATGACTGAGCTGCTGAGGCCTTATAGCATCAGCAAGTCCCTGAGGTCCTCTGACCAGGGTGTGCTGGTGGTTCCTCGCACGAGGCTAAAGACCAAAGGAGACTGTGCCGTTGAGGTTGTGGCTCCCAAATTTTGGAACTTTCGTCCCCCAGAACGGAGAGCCTTGACCTCTGTGGACACTTTTAAAAAGCAGCTAAAGACCCATCTGTTCAGACTTGCCTTTGTTTGATCTGTCTGTATTTGATTTTATGTGACTGTTTGTATCTCTTTTGTTTTATTGTGAAGCACTTTGTGATGTTCTGCTCTTGAAAGGTGCTATATAAATAAACTTTACTTACTTACTTGCTTACTTACTGAGTGACTGAATGATTGATGTCCAAAAAAGTGTCCAACTCCTTTTCAATCATCATGAATTCAACTTCAATTTGTTATGCACTTTTAAGAGAATGGAATGGATCCTTTTAAAAATTTTGATGAAAATGATTACTGGGGACCCTCTAGCAACCCATAAGGACCCCCCAAGCAATGCATAAAGGAATACTCTTAACCACTTTGCATTGGAGGAGCTGAGGAAAAAAACCCTTTGCGATCCAATAGTTTCCCATTAAAATATCCTCAGGAAATCCATAAGGTTATCATGTACAATTTATTTGACTCTAAGGCATCCAAGATAAATGAAGGACAGACTTAGCCTATGTGGATTCATGATACCAGGCAGTTTCTTACAAAATTGCTTAGGGTTTCGAGTTTCTGTTTTGCAATATTAACGGCGAAACAATAAAACGATTAATCAGCAGTGTTATCGTGTACCCACTGCCTACAACTGTATTCAAAGATAATGAAGAATGATAAATACAAATCTGTTATTTAAATAAATCAGTCACAACTTTTCCTTATATTTCCCTAGAATTAAGTTTATCATGCAGGTTGATCTGTATGCTAACAACATGAAGGGAATGAGGTGAGACTAAAAAGACAAATGCCATGAACCTCACTTAAAAGGTGCCATCCAATCAGTTTGAGTGCTCACCAGCAAAATCTTGAAAGCCATAATGATGACAAGAGTATATGTCTTCACATGCATTTGATGTAAATGAAACCCAGACCTTCATTTACTTCAAAAGGTTTGAAACCATGGTTGTCAAACTCATGTAAGCCTAGCGCTGGGTGGGTCAGATGAGTTACCATGGGGTTTCTCACTTGTGGAGAGCATTGAAAAGACCAAAACAGCACACCACACACTAAGAAATTCCATCCACCAGTAACCGGGGTCCTGTCGTTCAAAACTGGAAATATTGTGAAAATCCCTTGAGGTCAAACGCGACATTGGAGTAAACAGGATTTGTGACTACTTTCAACTGAAAAGAAAAAAGTAAAACTATGAAGATCTTGAGATGGCTTGAACATGTTACAGCGTTAGTTGGTGCTTCCCAACTGGCTATTGTTTCGTTCATGTGGCAATCCACAGAGTGCTTGCTAGGTAAATGGTAAATGGTAAATGGACATCTACAATTCACTTAGCAGACGCTTTTATCCAAAGCGACGTACATCAGAGAGTAAGTACAACACAAGCAAGGGTCTAGAAAAAAGGAAACAATGTCAGTATGTCCGATTGGACACACAGGTGCTGACAGGCATTGCACAGAGGCAAAGCATAACATTGACGGCAGTTCTTGAGAGCTCTAATCAGTATAGAAACCAAAACAATCGTCATAACCATCATCATCGTCAATAATATGGAGACCATCATCATTAAGTTAGTAGGTATTCATGAAGGAGCAGGGTCTTTAGCTTTTTCTTAAAGGTGCAGAGGGACTCTGCAGATCGAATGGAGTTTGGAAGTTCATTCCACCACCGGGGGGCAACAGAGGAGAAGAGTCTAGTCAGAGACTTAGGACCCTGTTGTGAAGGTTGGATCAGACGCCTTTCATTGGCAGAGCGTAGTGGGCGGGAGGGAGTGTAGACCTGGATGAAAGAGTTAAAGTAAGGAGGAGCCGTTTTTGTCGCTGTTTTGTAAGCGAGCAGCAGAGTTTTAAATTTGATGCGAGCAGTAACTGGGAGCCAGTGTAAGGAGATGAACAGCGGAGTGACATGTGCTCTTTTAGGAAGGTTGAAGACCAGTCGTGCTGCTGCATTTTGTATCATCTGCAGAGGTTTGATAGTGCATGTCGGACTTGCACTATACTTATTTTGCGCTTTTCTAGTCTTCCGACTACTCTGCTTTTACACTGTCACACCTACCCATTCACACACTGATGGTAGTGGTCGCTATGTAGTATCATCCATCAGAAGTAACTAATCCCATTCATACACCGCCACCGAAGCAGCCCCATTATTTTCAAAGCAGATTGGATTGCTCTCAACACACCTTACACCACGGGAAATTGGCAATATAATTTGGTTATCGTTCATCCCTCACAAGAAAGTCCGGGGTTTGATCCCAAGCTCCTGCAGCCATATGTTGTTGTGTCAATGGGCAAGACACTTAACCTCAAGTTGCTGCTGCATCAACGGCATGTGAATGTGTTTGAATGGATTAGAATGGATAAGTGATGGACACTTTACAAAGCAGCCTCTCCCATCAGTGTGTGAGTGGGTATGAATGGGTAGTTGTGACCTGCTGTGTAAAAAGTGCTTTGACTAGTCAGAGGACTAAAAAAGCACTTTACAAACTCAAAACCATTTACAATTTAGTAACTATCAAATAATTGTGACTTAGGATTGTCTGAAGGGGGGGACCAGGCCCAAAATCAGCTCGATTACCTGATAGTGTGAACCATGCTTTA